TATATATATATATATATATATATATATATATACTGTTTATTTATTGGTATATTTAACAGCCTGAATATCAAATTTCACAGAAATCCAGGAAATGACTCACCTGCAGTGGCATAAATCCTTTCATAAGGCGCACATCCAAGAGGCTTCATTCGTGTGGGTCTCACAGCCAACATACTGTTCTAGGATCTGTAGGATCTGGTATATATATACAAGTCCGGCTCTTGAAATCCTGTATTGCTCATATTGTCATAGTGATCAAAGAGATCTTCTCACAAGTTCTTTTCTCACAAGAAAAGAAACAAGTAAATGCCAGGTGTGTATAGGGACATTACACATGAGAAAACAAATAAAGAGTGGTGAAAGGTTGGTATGTCAAAAAGGAGGAAAATAAAAATAAATTAATACATTGATAACTTCAATCTGTCAATAACATATTCTGTTTGAACTGCTTTTTGGTTTTCATTTTCCTTTATTAGAATGTTGTTATGTTCTTTTCCCCTCTGAATTAAATGAGGTCTTCATTAAAAGGGCACATAATTTTTTCCATATTGGCTGATTGGCTGCAGGTGAAATGCTTTCTAGGATTAATATCAATATTGAAAGCTAGCCTGCACAAGAGCAGGTTTACTATGATGACTAGCCTCACTAAGAATAAATCCAGGTTAGTTCATGACAAAAGTAATTGCATCTTTAGCAAATATGAATAAAATACTTAAAAAAAAAACATTACATGGATTTTCCACCTACCATGTTTTCTTTTATAATTACACAAGGTATGCAGTTATATTTTCGGATGGGATCAAGTTGGCTTAGATACCTTTTTTCTCTAATGTGGGAAGTAATTATTTGAAAACTGCTCTTTGTGCTTAGTAGGGTCATTTTTGTATATTGTTAAACATAGTTTCATCTAAAACATATGACAAAAAGCAGTAACACATGAAATGTGTAATACTTCCTCTAAGCTACATATTCAGAACTGTGCTTGAAAGTTAAGATACCCTATTAAAGACAGAAAAAAAATCTGCTGCCCGTAAGATTAATTAAAATTTAAGAAAAGTAATAATACATTTAAATAGAAAATGGAAATCATGACATTGATTTTTAATATTTATATGTATACATACCTATGTATGAATTGATAAATAAGTAAACACGTCTAATAGAGCTCCTGAACGAAAATTTGGCTGAACAACACTTTGAAGCCGGTCAAACAAATCAGGTGTTTTCTGTAATATTCAGGAAATGTTCAGTGAGTACTTTCACTTGTCTGGGACAGCTTGTTTTTTAGAATTACTTTTGAAAAAAAAAATTCTAAATCAATATTTTAGTCTACAAAATTATAATTTACTAAATTTGCATTTATCATTACTTTTTTTCAGTTTTGTGTTATTTGAATACTAGTGTGTTTCTATCTTTTTCTTTAATGGGGGGTATGCAAACTTTGAAGCACAACCGTATATATTCATGATTTACAGGCATGAGGGGAAAAGTGCAATGCAACGTCAATAATTTCTTTGTTTATGGTGATTTATTATAGGTGCAGAGAGAACCTTTAGAATCATTTAATTGGCTCTCCAGTTAGCTGAATTCCACTGCAGACTAGAGTATGTGTCTAAAAGCCCACCCACAGGCATGCTTCCTGGCAACATGAATTATCCTGGCACTTTGTAGATTGTTAAATAGTCTTTATTTGAACAGTTCCAGACACAAAATTAGTCTAGTAAAAACTGCATTTTCAAATTTTCTTTTAAATATAAAAACCCCAAACAGACTGACCGATATAAAGTGGATTAAATGTAGACATGCTGTGCAGGAATTTGCTCATCTTTGCTTGCCCTTAATTGAAGATGATTATGGAGTCACCCTCCATGCTGATGCCACTGTCACCCCGAATCTTAGCCAAGCTGGCTTGCAATGTACACTCACAGGGTGGTCACTCCGTCTTTGCTTCTAAACTGGCACCGGTCACAGCAGAGCCTACTCCCCTCTTCAAATACAATTCTTGTGACTCACTGTATGTGTGTGAGAATAAACCCTTACAGACAAGGCAGGAAATATATAAGGGTCCTAAAAGGGTTACAATGTTGATTTCACTTTGTTTCATATTGGATCTTATGAGTGTGTTTGTTCCTGCATGTGTGAATGGTAGTGTAATGTATTTTGAGTCACAATTTATTGTTTTTTGCCCTCTAACCTTTATCCTTTTTTCCATTTTTGTTTACAGATAACACAACGATAGCGATTGCATCCAAGAGGTAGACCACTTGCACCAAGAAACCTACAAAGCACAACATCAATGATGAAGAACAGCAAATAGGACCTACTAGAATCTCTCCAACCCCCCCACTGAAGATCTTAAAAGTCACCTTTTTTTTTTTCAATTTTCCTCCTTGGTATTTTACCTGCAGCTTTTCTACAAAACAAGAGAAAATAAGAAAAAAAATAAGAGACTCATAATCATGAGATGATTGAGAACAGCAGATAAATACTTTAGAGAGACTATTTTCTTTCGAGTGTGAAGATCAATGATGCATGCTTCTGTAAATAAATCATGACAACACCCTTTTTCCTGAAATAGGCAGCATATCCGGTTGCTGTCACCAAATTCATAAACCTTATTACTGTGGAGTGAGTACTCATAAATTGATTTACCTCACAAAACCTAAACACTTTTTATCAACCCAAAGCCCATGAAATGTTCATTTGAAATAGGATTTTATTGTCTTTAGTATTATTTTACAAGAGACAGCCAAATCTTCCTGTTTAATATCCACATAATTATATGTACATAGAAATTAGTGAAGACAGCAGCATGGACAAACCTATAGTGTAACTGTAAACTAATAAACCACTCAGTATCTCATTATTGCATAACTTAGTTAATGAATTTGGGTTTTCTTTGTCTTCAGTAAATTTCATATGTTTGATATTAAGTAATTTTTGTTGTATTTGAATAGATACTTAAACATAGGCATTAAAAGCTGGAAATAATCTGGTTTTGTCTTTTTGCTATACCTGGAAAGTCAGGTGAATGGGAAAAATTATTGTCCTGACAAAAACTAAAATGTTTAAGAAAACACATATTTTTTAATGTTAATGTTGGACCTTTTTCCTTGTATATAATTTCCAATGCAATAACTGTGCCCCCTCTAAATGTCAATTTCTGCTGTAAGCAAAGCTTCTGAGCGTCTGAGTGGAACTGAAGCTTTTCTTTCTTTTTTTTTTTTTTTTTTGCACAGTTCCAAACTGTGCTCTATACCTGAGCCTACAGATGAGGATCCAAAATGGAATTCCTCCCTAACTGCAATATGGATATGAGGACTTATCCCCTGTCTTCCATGAACTTTGATAGTAACCAAATGCACTGAGAGATAAAATACCCAGCCAACGAACAGATGACCTCAATGATTAGTCCCTTGTCAATGAAGGCAGAAAATATTTGCATGAACAGCAGGGGAAACCTATTGTAGCTTGTTGGACAGATATTCTTCGCCACTGCACACCCTCTCTACCTCTTGAGATATTTATGTCCTGTTAATGGCTCCTTCAGTTATCCCAACAGTTCACGTATCTGTTGCATGTTCCAGAGTTCCACAAAGAAGGTTCAGCACTGAATCCTGTGTAGTGATGTGGAAAACATTGATTATTTCCTTTGAACTAAATACACCCATTGCTTGTTGCTGTATATATGTACACTAGGATGAGTATGTGTAGTCTCAGATGCTGTACTCTGCATGTTAACTTGTAGATGGAACATAACAACTACTCATAGATAAGGACATGCAGATTGAAGCACTACGTTGGTTTAACATCCCCTTATTTTTGTCCTGAGAATGTACAGTACCATGATAACAACAAATATTTTAGTTTCTCTCATTATTAACTGGATAACTAATTATCTTTAAACCTATTAAAGTGAATCACACTCTTCCTTTTAATTTCTGAGACCTGCCCATAGCAAGCTCTAGGAGGAGAATGGAAGTGGGAGTTGGATTGGGGTCTCTCACTTACTGTAAGTGCCAGAAAGCAAAAAAGCATGTCACATCTTGCCAACAATTGTGTATTCATCAAGTGTCAAAAAACGTATACATTTCTATGAGCCTACAGTACACACTGGCAGACAGGTCCAAGAGCAAAGAGTGAGACAGAAGGCAAGACCTAAGAGAAAAAAGGAAAATAGTGGCTGAATTCACTAAGACAATATTGAAGTATTTTAGTGGCCTGACCAAGTACGTGATCACTTATTTCCTGACCTCCGTGGAGAGCTGAACAACCCCTTGACCTCAAACTGTTATACCATAATGTAGCTCTCTGGGCTGCTATGACCTCACGTCCTGTCTGAGGTTAACTTCGTGTTAATGAGAAGACCCCTTAGCTCAACCAGATGTTCAGCCTTCTGGTTAAATACCTGTAACCCTCTGTGATTTTTGAAAAAAGACTGCTCACTGCATCTGCTTGATTTCTAGAAATATTGATAAAAATACTTCCCCAACTAAATAACTGAATTGATGCAAACCTTTCAATCCCTCTTCTAAGATCAAAAGTGGTTTCATTCTGCCAAAAAAAAACTACAAGTCTTACTTTAAATCCTGCACATGAAATCAAAACACATTCCACACACACATTACTGTATGTCTTGCTGTATGTTGTGAGGACCATTTACCGACTCCCATAGACTTTCATTGATTTTTAATTATTTCCAATCCTTTCTATGTTCTAACTCTGAAAATATCCCTAAATCTAATCATTACCCATGCATCCTTAACTCTATTCTTAACCTAAACTCAGTTCACACCTTGGTTCTAAACCTAACCTTTTCCAATTTTCCAAAAAACAAACAAAAAAGACAGGAAGTGAGGAACAGCAAAATGCCTTGACTTTGGTACAAACCGTCCTCAGTTTGAAGGTGAAATTACCAAAATCGTCTTCACTCTGATGCCAAACAGGACTACAAACACACACACCTTTTTCATCAGACTATGTCCTACAGTACTGTGGTGCCAACGATGAAAATATTTTTTTGTTAAATTTTGCATGTCAGATCAAGTAAAAATATTTACAGTCTGGTAAGCAAATTAGGACTTAGGTCTTAGCTGTGATTAGTTAAAGAAGATTTAAAACTCAGAAAAGGATGAAGATGCCACTCAAAAAGGATACACATGAAAACAAACAAGACACTGATGGAGTCTCTCCAAGGCTTGCTTAGACAAGAAACAAAGTCCTTTTACTTTTGAAAATTTGTCAGTGTGTGACTGGTAGAAATACTTTTTTCTAATTTATTTCGGTGAATACTCTTCTTTTACCTGACTAGTACAAAAATGCAGTGTTTAACACTTCTATATGTAAAATGGGTATTGATGCACAAAAATACAGACAAAAAACACTTCCCTGGTCTTTCGCTTACACACACTCATATACACACATAAAAAAAACAGTATGTTAATCAAAACAGAAAGGCTGTATGTAAACAGATCGCCTACATAAGGAGATTGTTCAGTGTGCAAACAATAGGCTGTTAGCATAATCACAGGCCAAAGATATATTACCCAGAGGGCCATGCTGTATGTATATTACCATGATGGATATGAAGAAGAGAGGAGGGGAGCAAGGGTAGTTCGATACTGAGCCTCACTAATTCCGATTTACCCCCTATCGGGCCTTATCCACCGCCCTCTATGGTAAGCTGTCCTTTTTAGACCACACTTAATCAGCCTCTCATCTTTTCCTTGTATTCCTATCTGCCTGTTTCTCAAAAACTTGGCTCCCCTTTCTCTTAGCCCCAGATTTCTTCTAATACCTAATTATCTAATTTCAACCCTTACCTACATATTTTCTATCCTTTCATCTCTTTTTCATCACCGTCTTTTCTTGGACAGATATAATCGGCTTCAGTAAAGTCATCAAATCCCTTTCTTTAGTCAGTGGGGTAACCAGATAAAGAAGCCCCTGCAATCTTGTTTTACGGATTTAACAAACAGAAGCTTGAGTGATACTAAGCTTTTTAACCTGCTACACACGTGTCTAATAACTAAACAAGAGCAAGAAGCAGAAACATGTTTTGTGGGTCCATACCGGGTGATTCAAGATTATTTCTACAGTCAGTTAATCAAAAAGCTCACTGCTGATGAACATATCTCCATTTTACTTGACTATCATGTAATTCGTTATAATTCTGGATCATTAGGGTCATACTGTATGCCTACTTAAGCTTTATGCATCTCTTGACCCAACGATACATATTAGGCCAACAGTAATCCTGTCATGATTAGTGTTTCCTGTTTATAGTCGGAAGACAAAGAAGTCAAATTCCTGGTTAAAAAACCCCCCAAAAAACCCAGCAAAAGCTCCCCTTGAGGTTGAAATTGTTTCTGGGGAAGTTTGCATAGTAGCCCTGCATATATTATTCTTTGTTGCTAAAGAGAATACTTTAATGCACTCAACTCAGGTGTTATGAGAACTTTAGTTTTAATGTCCAACACAAGCAAAAGGCATTTATTCACCCATGAAAATAAACAATAGTAGGACTAACTCATGTGTAGTGGCAGTTCTTTACTCAACAGCAGTACACCACTTATCTTGGATAATCAGCTTAGAACAATTTTTTTTACCAGTACTTGCCAGTTAATATTTTTTAATCACTATTTTGAATAAAATCTGAGTTAAACTATTTATTTTAAAATAATTCACAGTGAAGTAACCAATGTCAATGACTTTTCTGTTTTTAATCCAAACCAACAGGGTGATGTACAATGTCTGATAAATGACTCAGACACATAAGTACAAAATAAATCAGGTACTATACTGTATGAACTGACACATTAAGGTGTTCATTCCAATTCTCTAAATCTGAGTAAAAAAAATTATTTCATACGTAGTAGATTGTGATGCACATATACAATGGATTAGATTTGTTTAAATAGCCAATCGGTAGCAAAGTCAGAGAAGGCCTCCTTATCTGACAGAGCTAATAACAGGGATGAATAACACAGCTTGTAAAGTCCTTGCACCCATCTTATTCTAGCCCATGCATAAGCTTGAGCTCTCTGCCAGCTTCACCAAAATGAGATGGGCTCCCAAGAAGATTGGGGGTGAAGGCAGGGGAAGAGAAAATCGGATTAACTACAATGCCTCAATTGTAAGAAATATCTGGGCTGACTCCAGTTAATTCCACTGACACATGTTGTAAACTAAATCCTTAATTTCTGACTAGGGATTGTTTGAAACCAAAATTAACCGTGGTGAAATTGCTTAAATCAGTATTTTTTTCATATTCAAGTTTTTCTAAAAGAGTTTGTACTGAGGCTAAATATTCTTAATGACATTAGAAAAACAAATGATCAGCACTGGAGCCAGACAACCGAGAGCAAACTAAAAGTAGGCTAAATTTGACTAGATTCTAGTTCGCCTTCTTTGAGAAACAACTGATGCAGCAAATGTACACGAAAAATAGCGACTGAAGTCTTTGGTCATTGTTTACTTTACTTGAAGATCAAGTAGAGCCAGCCAGCAGGGTAAAAGGTAACAGTGATTATGTTTTAATCTTTCCCTGCCATCTGATGGGCTCAGATGGCAAGACTATGAGGATGATGATACTTAGGTTTGTCTTTAGCGTTTAAAATAAAGATTAAAGGGACTCAACTACTGTTGTAATGGAGACATGCTGTTTCTGCCTGCTGTGAGCAGGTTGTATTCCTTCCTTTTTTGAAGTAGTGAAAAGTAAGAGAGTCCAGAAAGTTACAAATATGGCCCTTCTGGGCTCCCTACAAAGCAGAGAAAAAAATGTCTTCCAACTGTTGTTTAAAGCTACAATTTTTTGCTTTATAAATTGTATATCATCACACTTTCCTGACAAAAATAGGGGACTGTAGTTATGCCTCTCAACATGCAAAAGAAAGTTTAGTTTTCAGCTTAGGTTTCTCCAAATGGCGAAAGGGAGCAACTTTCTCTACTTTGCATCCATCCATTGCATCAGTCAGTTTATCAGTTGTTAACATGCATTTAAGATAACTATGCTGATAAACAATTACAGGTTTATGATTACTAATCACAACTAGGGTCTTTATTGTTGCCCCCCCCCTCCCATTTCAATCATTCTGTTGTATAACCACATTATTTCCCACATGTGCCTGAATGAGGGGTTTGATTTTAAAAAATCTGACCTTATGGCTAGCTGTGTTATTACCTGAGGGGTTGTAAGCTGCTGTAACAGATTCTGGGGTCTTATTACTAGGGCAATCAGCCCCTTGACACTTGGCCTTTCCTGACCCCAGTCAGAGATAAGCTTTATGGGAAAGTACATTAACACACTCTGGCAGTCACCCCCCTCTTTATAGAAAGCAGTCCTCAGAAATTAAGTGCTTATGGACCCCCAGTGAGAGGACAGTGCTGCTGATTGCCCATATTAGAGGCTGACTGTAAATGAACTGGAGATGGACAAAGAACTCGCAGTAGTGGGGGAAAGTGAGGATAGGATACTGATGTTCTTGCTAAATAAGCAATAGTTTTAATGACCTCAACATCCTTTGAAGAGGTTACCAGTCCCTACAAACACTTTAATGATCAATAAGTAGGAAAAAAAAAATTTCTGGCATCAACTTCATTATTTAAAAAAAATGACACATAACAGGTTTATGATCATACAAAGTTATAAGTTTTTTTTTCCTTTTCTGTTAGGAGACATATGAACCAAAAGGTTCACCAGATACACTTTTTTAATCACTACTTTTTAATTCTATTATGGAAGTTTTACTGTAGCTATAAAAATGCAAAACATTTAAAAATAAAAATTCAATGTTAACCATTCTGAGTGCCTGCTTACAATCTGATTGTGTGTGTAAAATCCTCTCAGCATGTCTGCATTGATGGATGGTGATAGGCCCGAGTCTTTGTACACAACAGGGGGGGCCTACTCTTGTCACCGGACAGATACAGGGAGTTGCAAAGAGAAAGATGTAACCACAGCTTAATGTCTTTCTCTGGTGCTGTGCATGCTCTTTCCTATTTGCTTTTCCCTTCACGGCACGGTTAACATCGTAAATTAACCTTTCCAAGCCCCCTGTGCTTACAGACTAAGGCAAAACACAAAGGAAAAAAATAGTTCTTTGTTATGCAATATGGCGAGTGCTGGTCAGAGACATAGCCTGCTACACTGTTCAGTTTTTCATTTTTTCCAGTGATTGGGGATAAAACAATATACCTTGTTCATTCAAGCATATTTTATGTGCATGTCCTGTGTACTCGAATCCATACAAGGCTGCCTTTTGTTCTCCATCCTAGAAATGTAAATGTCGCACATGGAAACAAAAACCATATTAGATCCTTCTTTTATTGGTTCAATCCTGTAAATATGATGTAAATAGCAAACAGCTATGCATGCTAATATACAAACAATTTGTTCAGGTACTTTTTTAATCCAGACTTCACATATGGCATGTAATAATGACAAAAAGCAAAAATTGAAGCAGCATAAAAATTGTAAAAAAAAAAAAAAAAAAAAAAAGTATATACATATGGTTTGTAATGATGTCAAAAAGGGAAAAAAATGCCTTGGGTGGTTATGTTTTCTTACTGATAAGTAATGCATCAGTCGGCCATTTACTCCAGTGCTCCACTCATGTTATTTAATGTATTTTTATGTTCCATAAGGTGGGGTTAGGGTAAAACATGCCCGTTGACTACTAGTCTGTGAAATAATGTCAGTAGTAATCACAGTGCGGACAAAAATTGTGTTTCTGTTGTTATATTGCTTTAATTTTCCATTGTCACTGCATGGTTACATGCATACTACTGGGTATGAAACAACAACAAATAAAAGTTTTGGAACGTATCTGCCATTAGAATTATCTCAGCAAGAAAAAAGGCATTTCACCAGCTTTACTTAGTTCAATTTTTGGAAAGACATGTTTCTGGAAAATAAATGCAAATTATAATAACAGAACAATTATTTTCAGTGATTAAAAGTTTTCCATGTATTACTAATATGGAAAGAGGACTCAAGTAAATTTTTTTTTATCAGATTTTTTTCTACTTTTGTAAAACAATGTACATTAAAAAAGACATGTATATCCAAATAAATCCTTTTGCCCTAGCAGCTTTATTGTGGCACTGCATGAACGAAGAAATGGAAAAAAAACTGTATTTATTTATTTATTTTATTTTATTTTTTTTTTTTTTGTGAGGGGTTGGTGATGGGGTGGTTTTTAAGAGTGTCGATTGTAAGCCATGCTAGACCATGTTAAATCCCAAGGCGCTCATGGTAGAGGGACGTATCTAATTTCTAACCTGTGCTAAAGATATTTTAAATTTAATAAATAAGTATTGTAACAAGAAATTATGTCATGTTGTGTGATGTTTTTGGATCTATAACTAGCCTTTCATAATTTCCATAAAGACTTTACTAAATACAATATATATTAAAATCTAAATTAGTTATATATATATATATATTTTATTTATTTTTTACTAAAAAACAGATTTTATATATATATAGTACATATTTAACCAAAAAACAGTATTGTCATAGATATATATATATATATATATATATATATATGTATAATACAATACGTTTTTTCACACATTGGAAGTCCACTATAAAAAAAAAATACATTTAATCTCTAACTGGGCAAATTATTATTTTTTGTTCTATTTAAACAAGCACTCATTTTACACTATACAAAAGACATATCTTATGGTTAGGTGAAGGTTATCAGACACATCCTTTAATCAGCTGAGCCACTCATGGGTGGTAAGTTTGTGTTTTGCTCGTTTCTATAAATTGTTTACAAGGGGACACATTCAATTAGTTATTTCATTATCGCCTCAGGTGTAATCAATAGACAATGCCGATAACAAACCCACATCAATTTGTGAGCCAACTCCAGTGCATTTTTCAAAATGAGTGAGGGCCACATCTATTTCAGGCACCTGTGAGTCTTTGACTGATGCATCAGTAAAGCATGTACTTTTATATAACGGTCCGTTTCATCCTAAACCATGAGACTCTTTAGTTATTTGAGTGTTGTGACCACAAAGTCCACATGTAAAGTCTGTTTCACATCTCACAGTGAAGTTACGCAAAGAAAGAATGAAGCGCTGTTTTTTTTTTTTCCTGTCATCCCCTCTCTTTCCCCTTCTGTAGCACAGATAAACAATGCGACTGACAGTCTCTCATCACTCAAGAGGCTGAATCTCTGGCCCTGACCCGATAACATCAAGTGTGTGTGTCACCTGTCAAGTGGCTTCTGTCACACTTCAGTGGGAACTCAAAAACAAGACTCCCTGTGCATTTGTGTGCCTCAGAGACAGACTAAGTG